CGGGGCCCTGCAGGCGGCACTCGGCCGGTCTGTGCAGCAGCGCTGCCCTGGACTGCTGTTCCTCACACGGCCCCTCCTCCGCGGGCACTGCCTTCCCGCCTGAAAGACAGCACGACAGGAGGCGGCGCTTGCACTGGGGTCAGGGTGACCAACACCCCACAGGCAACCAGAGGACTCAGTCCTCAGAGGAGCCATCACTGTGAGAGCTGTTCCCTGATGAACCAACCTCACCGAGGTTCCCTCGCTTCTGTAGCTTTAAAACCCCTTCCCCAACAATTTTTTTGTTAAAAACGTTTCTTTTTCAGACTAATTTTTTTTATTTTGGTTCTATATAGTATTTTTGATGCTGGTTATGAAAACAGTTTGTAACTCGTCTTCCTATAAACCATATTTTTTTTACCATATTTTCTTAGTATACTCGTCGACGACTGAAAAAGAACGTTTTGTGAAAACGAGTATACACGTTTCTGCCGGGGAAGGGGTTAACCCTGCACACGGTGAGCCTCCTCACCTCAACGCAGCCACACCACGCTGTCAGCAGGGAGGGAGCACTGGGAGGTCAGCTCAGAGAGCTCACACAGGGCATCTAAGATGCAGTGTGGGGGTAGAGACGAGGGGGAGGGAGGCCACAGGAGGAAATGCCAACTAATCCTTACTTGAGTTTACTCAGCAACACTCGCTTTGACTCTTTCTCCATTTTATTCAGCAAACACGTCCTCTCCAGCTCATTAGCCTCCTGCTTTATTACTAACAAAGTTAGTACTAATAAAGATGAAAGCTCAATGGAACCCTTGCTGGAACACACCATCCTAGCCCTCCTGAGCCACATGGGGGCTCCCGTGAGCCACTGTAATGTATACCTCTGGGCCCCTGTCCTGTCAGCTTCGCCTGTTCCTCTGAAGTGTGGGCGGTAACAATTGTTTTTAAAAAGCCCAGAAACCAGTCATTTCATCAAAGAGGAATAAGCTAGTGAACATGACACCAGCGTCGGCCAAACATGCTTTAAAGACCCGAGAGGACCACGTGAGTCTGACCGTCAAGGGGCGGGAGGGAGCTGGGGAAGACGGCTGGAGCAGTGGAGTGTGGTTATGTTAGAGCAGTGGTTCTCAACCTTCCTCATGCCGCGGCCCTCTAATACAGTTCCTCATGTGGTGGGGACCCCCAACCACAACATTATTTCCGTTGCTACTTCTTCACTGTAATGTTGCTACTGTTATGAATCGTCATGTAAATATCTGATATGCAGGATGCATTCTCATTGTTACAAACTGAACATAATTAAAGCATAGTGATGAATCACAAAAACAATATGTAATTATAGACGTGTTTTCCGATGGTCTTAGGCGACCACTGTGAAAGGGTCGTTCGACCCCCAAAGGGGTCGCGACCCACAGGTTGAGAACCGCTGTGTTAGAGGGACGGGGCGAAGCTGGAGAGCAGAGGCCAGATGAAAGCACGGGGCATCCATTCCAGGGGGTTTTCCTTGCCCTCCAGGCCCAGAGCTCAGGAGCCTCCTGATGACCCCGCCTACCTGAGGTGGCTGACCTGTGACCCCTATTGAGCGGCCCCTGGTTTCCCACGCTCACCTGGGTGCTGGCCTCCTGTCAGCCCGCTCTCAGCCATGCAGGGCTCCGTCCTCTGTTCCAAGGAGGAGATCACCTCGGGCTTAGAGCAGCAGAGCCCTGAATGATAGAGAAAAGGGAGATGGTCGTGCTGTGAGGGGAGAGGGCTGGAGAGGGCGGCCCGCAGCGGACAGGGGAGGTGGGAGCGGGGGGGCCCCGTACCCAGTGACACCAGGTTCCGGTAGTTCTCCAGCATCACGTCTCTGTATAGGGCCTTCTGTGCGCAGCTCAGCCGGCCCCACTCCTCCGGGGAGAAAGCGACGTCCACGTCCCCAAACGTCACCGCGCTCTGGAAGGACAGACCACGTGTCTGCTCGGCCCCTCGTGACGGGGCTGCGATGGACTAGGCGGTGTCCCCCAGATTCGAAGGTGAAGTGCTAACCCCAGGACGCCCCAGTGTGACTGCCTGTGGAGGTAGGGCCCTAGAAGAGGTGAGGAAAAGTGCCACGGAGTCACGTGGTCAGGCCCTAAACAGTCTGACGGGTGTCCTTCTAAGATGAGGGAGCAGCACCAGGAACGAGGGAGCAGAGGCGGCAGGAGGGGGGCCGCCTACACGCTGAGCAAGGAGGCCCCAGGAGAACCAACCCGGCGGGCGCCTTGACCTTGAACTTGTGGCCACCGGAACCGTGAGAGAAGATACGGCTGATGTGTAGGTGCCCCCGACCTGTGGTGCTTTGCCATGGAGCCCTCACAACCGGACCTGGGATTGAAGAATTGCCTTCTCTTGGTCCCGGGGAGAGAATATACACACGAGGAATACTAGCTGGTGATCTGGAAATCTAGTGTCATGTCATCAACCCCAGAGAAAAGAGAGAGACACGGAGACCGCCCCTGCCCCCTGGGGGACTGGCGCATCTGTGTGGGTGAAAGGAGGTACAGGCAAGAAACAATTGTAAATGGCCCTGACCGGTGTGGCTCAGTGGATAGAGCATCAGCCTGCAGACTCAAGGGTCCCAGGTTCGATTCCGGTCAAGGGCATGTACCTTGGTTGTGGGCACATCCCCAGTAGGAGATGTACAGGAGGCAGCTGATCGATGTTTCTCTCTCATCGATGTTTCTAACTCTCTATCCCTCTCTCTTCCTCTCTGTAAAAAATCAATAAAATATATTTAAAAAGACAAATAAATAAATGGAAAATACCTTCGGGTGAGGATAAAAATAATGTTGAAAAACAAACAGATAATAAAGTAAGTTTAAAAAAGAAGAAAAAAATAAATTACAGCATGGAGAACACAGTCAATAATATTGCAACAACTATGTATGGTGTGTGTGTGGGGGGGGGGGTCACTTTGTAAATTACATAAATGCCTAATCACTGCACTGTACACCTGAAAGTAATATGATAGAGTACGTCAACTGTCACTGAAAAATACAGTGAAAAAATGACCTCAACAATTAAAAAAATAAAAATATTACACAGTACGCAGTCCAAAAAGCAAGGGTGCACGTCAGCTAGGAGGCAGGACCTGTTAACTCACCTGGGACGTGACTTGGGGGTCCTTTCCTGTCCCTACAGGCTCCTGCGGGAGCCCCCTCCGCTGGAGAGGGGCGGGGTCCCCGGAAGGCGGAGCTGGGGGGTGGGGAGGGGGAGAGAAAGGAGCGGTCAGGTCTACCAGGTCCCGAATCACCAGCCGGCACACGCTGGGTCCCAGGGGAGTCCTCCTCCAGCCACGCTCGGAAAGGGCTCCCGCTGGCTCAGGGGCTGACCTCTGACCTAGGAACCAGGGGGTCAGGGTTCGGTTCCCGATCAGGGCACAGGCCCGGGGGGCGGGCCCGATCATCAATGGGGGGCTTGCAGGAGGCAGCTGATCGATGTTTCTAACTCTCTATCCCTCTCCCTTCCTCTCGGTGAAAACTCAATAAAAAATGTTTAAAAAAACAAAACAAAACGGCTTCCTCAGGTGGAGAACCCACCAGCAGCAGAGGCCGGCTGTGCGGGGGCCGTTCCTCCCCCCGGCGGCCCCGGGAGGGGCGGGGTGT